GAGCAGAAGATTTTGACACTTCGGGAATTTTTGAGAAGGGTGTCAAATGAAAGTCACAGAGCCTTCAAGAGAGGCTTGTGATGTACTACCACAAACCCAGGCTGTTTCAGTACGGGAATGTTAAGCGAATGGAAGGAGTGAATGGATTCTGCTCTCACTTCCTTACTCTGCCACTATAGCTCTGTGATCTAGGGCAAACCGTTCAGACATTCAGCACCTCTCAGTGAAACTGGTAACAAATGCAATGGTAGGCAGCACATTAATTTCACATGATATTTTTTATCCCATAGTTCAAGAAAAGAAGGGCAGTTTCCACAACATATATTCCAGGATTCCTGGAGGGATGACTACACAGAAGATGACCCATCTCTGACAGTGACCAGAGTAAAGTGTCCCAAGGAAGATGCAAAAATGAAAAAAAATCTGCCAAGAAGAACCTTCTGCCTAACTCCAGGCAGTCATAGGTGACTGACTGCACAAAACATGAGTGTTTGTGATATTTAAAACGGAGATCAGACTTGAGTTGGCAGCAAATTTTATCATTATTCACCTTCAGGATTCGTTTAGTTGTGTTCCTGGTGACAGACCTAATGCTAAGGCCCAGCTGTTACGAACACTGACGGTGAGCTGGGCAGGTACTCAGCACAAGGAGAGGACCCAGGCTCCTGCACACACGTGGGGAGTGAGCTGAGCCAGCAATCCAAGCAACAAGCAGGCTGGAGACAGCAGGAACACAAACCTCACAGCTCACATGTAAGGGTCTGACTCTGGGTTTGAAGGAGCTGTCTGTCTCTCAGTGTCTCCATTTAGAAGCCCTTTCAGAAGGTGGTCTGCCCGTAGTAATGTTTCACAGAAAAATAAGGAACTTCATCAGCAAAGCTGATACAGGAGGGACGTGACGCACCTGTGACAGAAGACAGCAGCTGGACAAAGGGGTTGAGTATCACAGTGGTGCTGATATGCTGTACGTAGGTGTGAAACGTGAGAGCTGGACAGCTCTGGGCAATCTAGAACCAGCCACAGACACACACGTGTACTGGAAAGCAAACCCTGCGCTGACACAACCTCTGGGCAAGTCTGGGTGTCAGTGGGTTTGCGACAGACAGAAAAGTACAGCTTGGAAGATGGCCCTGGAGTCTGAGAAAAGAAATTGTCCCTTCTACCCATGAATTCAACTCACAGTGTCATGAGTAATTGTGCAATGAGTGGGAAGAAAGGACATTAACACTTATAAAATAAACCTCCAGCAATCTTTTAAACAGAAAAAATATGGCCAAAAAACGCACAAAAAAAATCTAAAAAGAAAGATAGCATATTAAAAAGAGACAATTTTCCAGACGCGAAATAGCAAAACAGAAAAATCACCTGCAGGGAAAATGAAACAGAAAAAATATGGCCAAAAAATGCACAAAAAAAATCTAAAAAGAAAGATAGCATATTAAAAAGAGACAATTTTCCAGACGCGAAATAGCAAAAGGACATTGTTCATGAAACAAAAGACCTTTTAAGGTGCCTAAATTTAACTTTCTTCTTTTAAACAAAGTCTTTTAAACTAAATCAATCCAAAATAAGACAAAAATAAGTCTGAGCAAAGGGCGAGATGCTTGGCTGGAAGTCCGAGCCATTGCACTGTGAAGTGGCTTGGCACCCCTTGGGAGGCCCTGCATGGGGACGGACCTGTAACCCAGGATTTCATCCCTGTCTTCTAAAGGGACTCCTCAGCTCAGAGGTGTCAAGGGGCAGATTTAAGGAGAATGAGAACAGGCTGACCTCTCTTCATGTGCTTCTGTGACATTCAGTTTCTGTCAACAGATAAGAGAACTTCTTTTATGAAATTCCAATTATAAAATGAATGAGAAGACAAGATAAATTTCACCTTGTAGAATTCTACTGAGCCTCACTTTTGTATCCAAAACACTCAGAAAGCTTCTGCTTTGAGATGTCTCCTAGGGCAACGGAATCCCTGAAGAGTGTAGGACTGGATTGTACTATTCCTTCTGGCATAGAGGGTATTCCTAAGGGAAAGGAATTTCTAGACCCTACTTGCTGGAAATATGATTAGGTGAATGAAAAAAGTAACACAGTAAGATGAAGAAGCTATTCAGAATTACGGAGGCCTTCAACCACATGATGAAAATGTTGGGGTTTTTCAATTATTCTATTTAGAGGGCATGCTTGGCTTCAGCAGCTTATCAAGAAAGCATTGTAGGGAGTCAGCAGCAGAATTATTAACTTCACTGTTCTGTTTCACTTTTCTAAAGATATGTTTAAAAACGCAGTTCCCGTTCCATCAATGCACACGTTAATTTATAGGTCCATAGGTTCTGATGCCTGTTTAGGAAAGCAATATTGATGTGATCTCAGACTGGCAGAGACAACATCTTCATAAAGCCACACATGTGTTCTGCACATAAGGTGCATGATATCTCAAACTCCCTTTAGAAATCCAAACAAGAAGGAAAATACAGTCCATTTTAAAAATCACTGTTACAAATGCAGTATTAATGCTGTAAGCCCCAATCTCTGTTCCCTCTGCAAATCTGGAACAAGTGCACTGACACCCAAGGTTCTTCTCAAATTACATCTGGATAATTAAAATCAAAAAGCACATCTATATACAATTACTGATACATACTTTCTGCAATATTAAGACAAAATTCAGGAGGTGACCACACTCTCATGAAATAATACTGAGGTAATGGCTGCATTCCACTGAAGTAACCCCAAAGAAGTCAGCTTTCATTTCCTAAAGAACTCAAAAAATATTTTCCTTATGTATTTTCTGATCCAGCATCTAAAGTTAAGTCAGTGGGGAAAAAAAGCTCTGTTGGATGGATAATTTTTTGTTAAATTCTAATGGGTAATAAGTCATGTTGATAGAAAACAACTGACTTCACCCCTTTATAGTTTTATATGGTATTTCCATCATCTGTTCAGACATAGAATGCCTTTTGCCATAAGGAAATTCTACAGGCCACATGAGCATCCACATTACCTATAAGTATAACTGATCCATCTTCAAGTGCAGGGCTCTTAAGAGTATCCCCAAAATGCCTTCTGTCTCAAACTGTGCACAGTTTTACAGTCACCCTCTCTCAACCTAGAGAGCCACTAAAATCACAGTGTCCTACCAAGAAAGCTATTCTCCACCCGTGGTTGTTGGCTTTTGTCACTACTTACTGCTGAAGACAAACATTTTGATGGCAGAGACGGTGAAGGACATACAAAGGTGTTTTGTGTTCATGACAAAGGCAGTAAACGGGAAAGCGAAGACCATTGACTTCAGTTGGTCGAAACCTTCCACGTAGTAACAATAAAAGAATCCTGAACATGAGCAGTGTTTGTTCCAGTTTCAGTCCTACACATTGTCATCAGGACCACTCAGACTATGACAGAATCACGAGCTCTTTACCTGTGCCCCTGTGTGACTGTGTTGAGGGGTACTGTGTGCAAGAGTATCTTAAGTAAACAGATGGGTTACAGAGAGGGAGTCTGATTTCTAGTTACAATGTATAATGCGTTTGAAGCACACATCAGCAACCTCACTGTTGTAACACCTAATGCTATGCACCCCATATTCTAACGTACTGTTTATGGAAGCCTGTACCAAGAAAATCAAGAATTGTGAGCCAAAAACTGTACAGTGTCATTCAGAATAAGAATCCCTGGTGTAAAGTTCTTTAAATATAATCCATTACATTTTTCTTCCTTAGATTAACAAATTTTCTACATCTCTGCATTTACTCCACAGTGCTTGCTTAACAGAGGATACAGAGGCTTCTTTTTGTTAAGCAGAGAAAAATCTCCTTTCTCTATGCTGTGTTACATAAAATTCAACATAATCTCTTTTGAGAACAAAAAAAATAGCAATTTCTGGGAGTCGAGCACAGATATATGGAGGTCAGCAAACAGAGTCTTAAAATGCATTCAAAATGCAGATCTCTGACATCAGTTAAGAAAACCAAGAAAACAACACATCACCTGAATTACCTCACAGCTATTTGCATGAAGGATCCAGAGGCAGTACAGTATAAGTACAGAGACACGAGCCGTCCAAAGGGATCATAGCAACACTTCTGTTGGATACTGTGTGTGGCTGAACCAGAAAAAGGGCAACTTTGAAGCTCAGATGTGCTAACAGCTTTAAAAGACTAAACAATCTTGGCAGATGCATCAAGCAAAAATCGGAAACTACAAACCAGGTAATTTACCAAATCGTTTCCTTTTTAGCTGATCCTAACTTTCCTTCTAAAGATTGCTTTGAGCCAAATAAACTCATTCTCTATTTTAAAATTTGTAAAACTATGCATTTCTTTTATGTTCTGAAGATATAATTAAGCTAAATGATTGCCTTGCTAGTAGTAAAGATGCATTCTGCTCTACTGAAGGCACTCTGCTTACTGGAAAATAAATCCATGATAAGTGCGTTAGGAATTCCAGCGTTAGCTAGGAGAAATAGAAGAAAACCACTCGTTATCTGGGCAAGAGGTAATAGAGGATACAATTATTATTCTGTCTCTGAAAAAAATATGACGTGCTTCCCCATTGCAATAAATCTCCCTGACCAACAAAGGATAGCTATCTTATTATACTGACAAATACACAGACACACAGCTACTGAAAGGGTATAGAAATAAATATATAAAAAAAAATGGACTATTAAAGTTGGGCTTTAACTAAAAGTAGAATAAAAGTGCTGCAGATCCCAGTATTATATTAAAATGAACCCTTGGCAAAGGGAATTGCCTGGTGGAGATTGTTAGTGCAAGTGTATGTGTGTGTGATGTGAAGCAATAGAGTTCAAGAGGGAAATTATTTTTGCCTCTTGGCAGAAGGCAAAGCAAAATCACTGGCTTTCAGAACTCGCTGTACATCAGGAAGTTAGATGTTTAAAATATTCATATTTATTCTGCCAGAAAAATTAACAAGTGCCTGGTTTTAATTATGATGAATTCACAGATCCTTCAAAGAATGTAAAATAAACTGAGAGGTCAGTAACAGAAATGGGGAAGAACCCTCCTAAGAGACTTTAGTCCCTACAGCAGTGCCGTATTTCTTTTGCAGTGTCTGGAAATGTTGTTATTACTGCCAGGTCTGTTTGCTCCAACCTCCGCTCCTGTTGTTCTCTCTCCCGTGGAAGCTGCAGGCACCCGTGCCACAATGCCGTCTCTGCCACTGCTCCTCTGCCTGACCTTGTGCACTGTTTGCCTCAACTGGGGGCAGCCCCTTCCAGAGGCAAGTGAGAGCATGGGAAGAAATCTCCTGGATCAAATGCTGCAGAGATCTGAAAGCCTCATTCTCCAGTCTATCCTCAAGAAAGCTGAAAAGGAAGAAGAGATGAATAAAGGTATATATAACACTGGGGACATCCAGCTGGGGATGCTGGCATAGTACTTGGCGGGGACCATTAGACCCAAGGTGCTGTTCCCAGGTTCTGATGTGTGCACTTCTTGCTCTAAGGGGAGGGGAAGGGTAGGAGATCTGCTGCAATACACTGACATCGAGTTCTCAAAAGGCACTGTCTTCTCTAAGATCTCCCCACTTAAGCAATGCCGTATCATCGCCAAGCAGCTACTGCATAGTAAGAACGCAGAAGCCTGTCAGAGAAATCTTGCCTCTCTGCCAAGTACTTCCCTAGAGAAGCTCTAAGAGGGCACACGGAGGACAGTCCCCAGTTGTGGACCCTGTCCCTAATATTAACTGGAGGTGAGATTGCTGCCATTCACCTACCACCTCAGCCCACTGGTTTCTGCACTCCAGGAGAGGTGGGCTTTTTCATGGCTGGGAACACAGAGGCTGCTCTAGTGTCCGTCGCCTTCTAGCTTGCAGGGGCTCTGCTCTGCCCAGCCACAGCAGTGGAAGCAGATCAGACCCAGGAATCGCAAGACGCAGCACGTAGGTGCCTGCCACCAATGAGAAGCACAGAGCCCTTTCAGAGCTTGAGAATGAGCAAGAGACACTAATAGAATTATGACTGGTATCTGCAAATACTGAGCTGGCTTTCAGATGCCCACATCCCTGCTTCTACTTGTGTCTCAGCCCTATCTGCTACCTGTCTCCTGCTGATTTTGAGCTCTTCCCCACACCCAGCTTCTGCGGCTGATTTCTTCCAGCTGCTCAGCATCTTTTAGTCACCTCCCTTTACCTGAACCTGACAAGTTTACCTGAATCCACACAGTAGGCTTTGTCACTGCATGTATTCCCATTTGGTTGCAGCTAGTTTGTGACGTATTGATCCATCCTTGCTAAAACTGTGCCAGGACTGTTTTGCAGATGCCATCCAGACTGATCAAATTCAAGACTACGCAGTTAACTGTGCAATTAAATGGGCACAGTGAGCAACAGATGATGATCCTGCACCATAGAACTCCACAAATTCCCATTTCAACTTCCTTAGTGAGAATTACGGAGGCTTGTTAACATTATTCTTTTCTTTGGACAGAATCAAATGCCCCTGTGACAGGATGGCTTTCCAAAAGACAGCGCCCTGGGAGAAAGTACCTAAGTGACCTGGAGAAGAGACAGCACCCTGGAAAAAGAGATGCTGAGGAAGACGCATCTTATGGAGACATTCAGAAGAGGCAGCATCCAGGGAAAAGAGAGAGAGGAGACGACCTGGACGGCTATCTGGAGCTGCAAAAGCGACAACATCCCGGAAGAAGGTCACTGCTGGATCAGTATGCTGACATCCCCAGCGCACAGCTACCCTACTCGAATGAGCTATCTAAGAGACAGCATCCAGGCAGAAGGTATCTCATGTACAAGCGCCAGCATCCTAGCAAAAGAAGCTGGAATGATGAGGTAGATCTAAGTGACCGGTACCGTGAGAAACGCCAGCACCTTGGGAAAAGGCACTGGAATTCTGACAGCTCAGATGATGCAGGCCCCTGCAACTTTCAGGAGTCCTTCATCTGTAACCAAGGCAGTTTGTTGCTTGACTTAGTAGAAAATATTAGCAAAGACAGGGTAGAAGAAAAGCGTCAGCACCCAGGGAAGAGATCAGCACGGGAGAGTGAACCAGAGGAATGAGAAAATGATTGTATATCATTTGCATTTGGTGAAGTAAACTGCCAAAAAAATCTATTCACTCCCTTCTGGCTTCCTGCTGCTGACCTTTGCATCTCTTTCAGTGCATTAATGTGCCCATTTAAGTCAATAGTTTTGTCACACACTCGAAGTAAAGGAACTAAAGGACTCAGATGAATGGGATAGGCAAGTACCAAGAGCCTTCAGCTCCCTTACTTCAGGAATTTAGGAGTGCTCAGTTCCTTATGGGCCCAGACTCCAGAATAATCCCTCTATGTGCGTTCAATTTTCTGTTCCAAAATGACTAAACCAGGCTCTTTCTTTTCATGTCAGTAAAATCGGTAAATTAACACAGAGCTAGAAAAAGATTGACGTATGGCAATTATTTCAAAAGAAATTGGATAGGTTTTAAATTCTAAATGATACATTCATGGGACCTGAACTCTTGCACGCTACAATCTGTCCAGACAGTAGGCAAGAACTGTTTCAAATGGAACAGATCAAATGACTGACTTCATAGTTCGGCTTAGAACTGGCACATCAAAACTCTTTTCATCTAAGAGGCTGCACAGTGCAAAGGTTTAATGCATCCCAGAGCACCTCAGCTCCAAGTTGTGAACCTGACTGCGTACACCCTACTAGAACTCACACTCTGCTGCGTCCACATTTCAGTCACGCCACGTGAAATCATGCCTTCTCCTCAGATATTTAAAAATGAAACAAGCAGACATCCTTTCCTGTCAGTAAGGGTTTCTGATTTCTCTCCTCTCAAAGAAATGCTTTTACTTTCCATGGTCAGACTCCCAAAAGTGTTTATTTGATATGAATGGTTCAATAAACATCAATAAGTCAACTCTGGGTGTCCTTATTGGTTGTGCAAACATACTGTAATAGAGTGAAAAATCTAAAACCATGACAGCCAAGTAGCCAGAAAAGTGACAGCCTGGACAGAAATCCCAAGAGGATGAAGTAGGATGTTCTTAACCCTCCACAGATATTTATCTAATTATAGATAGTTCTAGTTCTCTTTAATCCTGGGATTCCTACACCTCCGTGGTTATTTTGATTATGAATTAGGAAGACAATTAATCACTGATTTAAAATTTTGCAGGTATGTTAGAACTTGCATCTGGTGGGGATCCAAATTTAATCCCATGCATTTTTTGAAACATAAGACCATTTACAAAAAGGGAACAAAAATCCCAGTTTTCTCAATCTTATATTAAATTGTCCCTTTAAAACTTTCAAAAGCTAGTATTTACTTTTAATTGAGAAAATTATTCAGTCATTCTACTGATTGGGGGAAAAGATTACGTGTTTTAGGAGTTGCACTTTTTTTTAAGTAACTCAAAACAGTATTTCAATCTGGCCAACAACATGTGTCCAATTTTTGTTTTCATTGAAAGTACATTTTCTCTCAGTATCTGAATGAAAATTTCACCTCTCAGTTAATTTCTTGTCTTCTGCAGTGTTGCAGATATACCACATTCAAGTAGAACGTTCTTTCTCTCACAGACACCATTCTCAGAGGACCACCTGCTGTTTGTGATTTGACAGTTTTGTGACTATGAAACACACATAAGCACAAGTTCTGAAGTTAAGTATCGGTCAGATTTACCTACACCCTAAAAGCTTTTCGGCTCTGGAGTGTTTCTATGGGACTCCCCCAGAAAGCACCAACTTCTACACCATAATGCTCTGCTGCTTTGAACAGTAAATATAGTGCCATCCCTTAGCAAAGTGAACTGTGCAGATATGTACTGCTTGGTTATAGGGTAAGATTGGTTCATTATTCACCTCTCATAATCACTGCTGTTGTGTACCTTCACCTCACTGTCACCTCTGACTGGAAAGTAACATCCATGCAAACATCTGCTCATATTACGAGCTTTGCTCAGTCACATGCACAAATATACTTGCACATTTTTAATAACTGCAGATCAGGGTGTTTAAGTTGCAAAGCTCCTTGATGAAGTGCACTGTCTATAAGACAGTCGGTGGCTCCTCAGGAACGATAACAAATCAGTAGTAGACTTGGTCCAAAGGTCATGGAAGTCAGTGGAAAAATCTCCCTTGAGCTCTGGAGAATCTGGATTAGGTCCACAGAGTGAAGCTGTGCACTTGCCCTAATGTGGCACCACAGGCAAAATCTTATTTCCAGCTTTAATTGAGACTCAAACAACTGTGCATAGATGAGTTCTTTGTTTACTCTACTGCAGTTTTACATTTATGGCACATTACCAGTTATGGAGACATAAGGGAGTTTCATTCCTAAAGAGCAACTTCCACAAGTGTCTTCAAAATAAGCTTTGTTTTCGATGGGAGGGGAAAGCTGATGTGAACAAGCTGTATAATGAACAGTTCCCGAATTATTTTCAACTCCCCACACCATCACTGCTCTGTGCCCCCTCCCACACATTTACCAGCCTTGACCTCTTTGTTAAACCACTGTAATTAGCATGGACTGAGGGTTTCCAAGGGACACATGGTCACAACAAACACCTTTATTACTGCTTTTAATGACTCATTAGTTGGAGAAAGTTTGAAAACAACATCACCACGGTAGCTGAAGTAGAGCCACTGCTTGCCTGGTAACTCACTCAGTTAACATCAAACAGCCAGCTGCAAAAACTATGACCAAAAGCAGCCAAGTCGAGAAGCGCTGCAGAAGGGAGGAGTGCGGGTGAGGCCTTGGCTGTACTGATATGACACAAAAGTTGCAGACAGGGAAGCCCTTCTGGTTTTAGGAAATGGATATGCGGCCAATCCACATTAGAGTGCTGCAGTCCTGCTTTCCTCCCAACAAGAACAGCATGAACTCCCTACTTCTCCAGGGTAATGAGCAAGGATTCAGGATGAACACAGAGACCTCTGATGAAAACAGATGGGGAAACAGTTTTTCCCTGAGAAAACTGAGTTATCTACCTGCCTTGAGATTACTTTTAGACCTGTGTTAAGGCATTTGTGGTTTGTTTTCCTTGATGAAACCACTGCAGCTTAAAAGTCCTAAGAAGGAAACCAAGAAAAGGACACTTACCAGTTATCTGCCAATTCACCTTGCTTACAGGAGATGAAGGAGCACATGCTGAAGGTGGGTAAAGCAGAACCAAAATCATATTAGATCACAAATTTCATTGGTATGCTGGAGCATTACATTGGTTCCTGAAAGATACGGGGCACGTCAGACACTAATATAAAGGAATGATCCTGGCCAAAAGGCAAAGACAGCTCTTGAGCTTATTTAAGCCTCTGTGGTTTGAACTGACAGCCAGTGATCCTGACAAGAAACCATCTCACAGACACGCTGGCACACGAGGTGTTGGGTGGCTGAAGGAACATCTTCTTCATTTACTCACAGCTAACACACATGGCACCTTCCTCATATTCATATGAATTGGAAAGAAGGAAAACATGGACTTAATAAATCACACAAACACTGCTGTAAAATGAGGTGGAAGTGAACCAGGATCCAAGTTGCCATATCGCAGGAAGTTAGTCCATTGCCATCTTCTCTGTACATTGGAGATCCTAACTGAATGCAGTTGAACACGATGCAGCACAGACACTTCAACAGCTGATTGGTATAGGGAGAATGTGAGATTATGACTGGGAAAACTAAGGAAAGCGACCTGCACTGAAGAGGTTGCCTGAAATATGATTGCCGTTTTAAACTAATTTTCACAGAGAAGCATATTCCCAGCCTGAGTTCCCTCTTGATTCTGAAGCTGGTACTGATGGGTGGGGTGCCTGAAGAGGCCACTGTACAAAGAGAAGAGTAGGAAGAGGAGAGAGCGAAAACATGACAAATCAACTAATACAGTAAGGCTTTATGAAAGGTTCTCTGAGCCAAAGCAGTCAAGACGAAACCCAAGCTCTTTGAATAAGCAAGTGTTAAAGGAGACAGCAACAACAGCACTGAAAGAAACCCACAAATCATTCACTGTTAAATATCTTCTGCTGAGGGCATTCCACTTACTGATTTTAGACATGTGCCTTCAAGATGGGGGTGGGTTGCTGTACAAATTTGTAGGGGAAATGGAAGACAAGAGAGGCTATAGGAAATAGCACCATATAGGACGTGCCTGAAATCTGAAATGAGCCCTGAATGTAATCCAGACATTGTGGACTATGGATCCTACAGTTAAAACATGCAATAAAATACAAACACAAAGGATTTCTCAATCTTCCTGTCTCTCCTCTTTGTAACTCACCTACATCATGCACTCAGGACCAGTATGTCAGATTCTTCAGCAGTGTTCAGGGATCAGGTAACACTTGTGCAGATGACTGGCCTGGCAGTACTGACGCAGTTAATAGGCAAATCAGGTAAATGAGGATCAACAAGTTGTCAGCTGCAGCTCTTACAAATCCTCATGCTGTCAGTTTTGATTGATGAGTCTGCAAACACAAGCAAAATCATAGGTCTGGCATGGAAATGTAGCTTCTATCCTCTCTTCATAGACTAATTAAACAGATTTGCTTTGTATCAAAATGTTTACTATAAGCAACTCGAGTGTATTGAATATATGAGTTTCATTAAAAGGAACAGTGATACGTAATTTTTTTACTTCTCTGAACAAAATGAAAACCACAGACGATGTTGATTAAGATCCACCTCAACAAACAAACAAAAGAAGCTTTCTCAGATAAATTAAAATCAAAGATAATTTTATGTTGAAAGAAGAATTTCATGCTACCCATTTCAATGTCAGGAGATTTAAAATTATTTCTTTTAAATTTATCTCTAAATTATGGAATTGAATTTAGGCCAATTTTAAATGAAGAATCAATTTAACTTAACTAGCTGTTTAGTTTAGGGAATACTTAGGAAGAACATTCTGATTTTGCAAAGAACATTCTGATTTTCCACACTCCTTCTGCCTCAAAGTCTATATTAAACTCAACACCATTAATTTTCAGGTATTTAAAACTTTTTTTTAAATTTTCAGTGAGTAAGCCGTACTTGTGCAAGTGTTTCACTGCATTCCTTGAGAAGTAGACAG